AGGTCTGCTAGATCCCTGGAGAGCCAGGGGGCCTGCTGTGCTCTCTTGCTGCCTTTCCTCTGAGACAGAATAGAATTGGCTCGTGCATTGAGGATCATTCCCTTGAGGAGCAACCACTCATCCTGAACGCCCCTCTCCCTGGGGTTGTGGTCCCTTGAGGCAAAACTTGAACATTCTAACTTTGTCTCCTGTCAGCCTTTTACTAATCAAACCTAATTCTTTCAATCTTTCCTCAGAGATCATATTTTCTAAATCTTATGAAAATTTTTCTTGCTCTCCATCAACTTTCTGCACTGGGTAAACTTTTTTGGATGTGAATACCCTAAACTGGAAACTGAAATCTAGCTCAGGCCCTCTCACTGCTGAATACAATTCAGTATTCTTGCTTTCATATCCCTGTGTGGTGGCTGTTTTTGCAATAGTAGGGCATTGGTAACTCCTGTTTAGTTAATCATCTTCACTTTCAACAAAACTTCTGCCTACCTACTTATCCCCCATGTTGTATTTGTGTAGCTGACAGTTCCTTCTCAAGTGTCATACTTTGCATTCATTCTTATAGAATTCAAGCTGTTATTTTCAGGTTGTTTCTTCAAATTGTTATTTTGATTTTTAAACCCTCTCCTCAAAAATGTGTTCCATCCCTTCCAGCCTTGTACCTGCTAATTTAGTAAGTGTATTCTCTGTCAGCCAAGTAATTGATTAAAACATTGGGTGTGTCTACACATGCATTTAGGCATGCTTATATTTAATGTGCATTAGCTTAATGCGCATTAAGGTGATTTAGGCTTGCATCTATGTGTGCATGCATTAAAGTGCATTAACACCATGTACATGTTATACAGAGAATCTTACACATGCTGTATCATACACAGAGTTAATGCACCATAACGTCTGTACATGTGTGTTAATGCACTTCAGCTATTAACACACAAATAGCCTAAAATTGTCATTTTTAAGGTGCATTAAGGGTGTAGATATGCACCCTTAATGTGCCTTAAATTTGGCTAAATTGCCTTAAATTGGCACATGTAGATGCACCCATTGAATACTTGATTCAAGATAAGCATCAGAAGAACACCCCTACCTCCTGCCCTCTGATAATTTTTTCCATTTTGAGAGCAAGCCATTGATAACCACTTCTTGAAAACTGTTTTTTTTTTTCCCCCCAGCCAGGTGCATACCCATTTTATAGTAGTTTCCTTTAGTGGTCTAAAGGAATTTATTTTTGGTAACTGAAGTTAGGTTTACTGGCATAAAATTGCCTTGACTTTCCTTTCTGTCTATTTAAGGGGGAAATTTTATCTTTCCATAATCTGAAACCTCTCTGATTCTTCAAGAACACTAAGAGAGATAACTGCTAATGGTTCTGAAATTGCTCTAACAAGCTTAAAATAATTAAAAACACCAAATCATTTGTGATCTTGGGGTATCTAAATGTAGATGGCTGACTTGTATTTCAAAAGGAAGTAACACTTGTGATTCTTGTGCAACTTCTCAGAACACTTCTATTCCTTTCCAGAAAGTCATCTCTAAACTAGAGACCTAAATTTGTAGAATGAATAAGAATATGCTGCGTTGTGTTTATAATTTAGTATGATGACAAAGTTTGCCACAGTCTTGCCTAAGGAAGTGTTAGTGATATCTCCCTGTATTATTTGAGTGTAACTGTATGCATACTTTTAGGTTTATGACTCATTGCTTGACTTTGTCACCATGTTCTTCCTGATACCAGTTAATAACGTATTGGTTAGCACAGACGGCAGCTCCCTTTTTTCATGTCTCTTTTTTTCCCCTCTGTTCTGCTTTATGATCAATTATTTGTTGAATGATGATTTTGACATGAGAGCTTAGTGAGTCGCACTTTCTTATCCTCCTTTGTCCTTTTTCTTGCCATTGTAGTGCTAATTTGCATGCTGGAGTCTTACTGGTTAAAATAAAATGTTAAATAAAATTACTTTGACATACAGACATTGTCTAATAATAGGAAATAATTAGAAGTTGGGGGAGAAATTATGTAAAAATGTAAGTATCCAGATATATCCTGACATTGATTATAGTGTTCTGTGTATGTTCTAATGGCTGGACTGTATCCTTCACTTTAGGGTGATTCTGGAGGTCCATTGGCCTGCATTGGAAAGGAAAATAGGTGGTACCTTGCAGGAATTGTGAGCTGGGGTGAAGGATGCGCTCGGCGTAACCGTCCTGGTGTATACACTGAAGTGACAGCTCTTTATGACTGGATTCATCTGTATACAAAATGATGCACTTCGCAGGCAACACAAACCATCCTGTTTGCTGAAATTCGTAGAAATGCAGTCTGTGAAGCACATCTTCATGGCAATTATAATTCATGGTAGTGTGTGTGTGTGTGTGTGTGTGTTGATTTTCTTTTGAACCTTTCCGTAACAGTTTGGACTAAA